AGGGGGGTCCCACCGTGTCCGGCAGTCTTTGCTCCTCTGGAGTTCCACGGCAGGTGGCTGACTGCTGCTCTCCCCGGGTCTCTTCCGGGTCCCTCTCGCGGCGTTCCCCGGTCTGGCGGCAGCGTTCCCCCGGCCTGGCGGGCGGCGGTGTGCGTTCCCCCGGCTGGCAGCGGCGTTCCCCCCGGGTCAGCAGTTCTAATCCATCAACAGCTCCATGGGAGAAAGATGAGTTCCCTCTTCCAATTAATATTCACAACCTCACATCTCACTCCCTAATCTCAAAACCTACTATACAGCTGCAATATCAAAACAACATGATATCTAGACAACAACAGACACATAGATAAATGGAATAGAAGAGAGAACCCAGAAATCAACCCATCCACATACAGTCAACTGGTATTTGACAAGGGAAAAAAAATCCATTAAATGGGGAAATGACAATCAATTATCCTTAACAAGATAATTGGCAAAACTGGACATCTGCCTGCTGGAGACTAAAACTGGATCCACATTTCACACTATTCAGAAAATCCAACTCAAAGTGTATCACAGACCCAGGAGTGAAACTCAAAACTATAAAGCCTACAATATAAATAGACTTGCAAACATAGAAGGGAAAAAAGGCACAGCTAGGAAAAGGTAAAATCAATGAATAGAACCTTCTTAAAGTCAAGTCCCTGTGTGCATAAAAAATCTTCTCCATTCTCCATTGCAAGAATAGAGAAATAGTCCAAATGTCCAATCACAACTGAATAGATTGGAAAATTATGATTTATTCACACAGAACTCTGAAGCAATGATTTTGAAAAATACGAAATAATTTGGGAGAGCATTGGGAGACAGGAGAGCATTATGCTGAGTGAACTAAATCAGTCTTATAAGGATAAATACTGCATAAGACCATTATTGTAAAAATAGAAGGATTCATCACAACAAGATAAAGGTAAATAATCCAAAAGAAAAGTGGGCATGGGATATGGACACTTCACCAAAGAAGACTTTCAGATGGCTAACAAGCACATGAAAAAATGTTCAAAATCCCTAGCTCTTAAGAGAAATGCAAATAAAAACAACTATGAGATATCATCTCACCCCAATAAGAATAGCAAAATTTAACAGAACAGCAAGCAACAAATGCTGGCAAGTTGTGGAGAAACTAGAACACTTATTCACTGTTGGTGGAAGTGTAAAATGGTGCAACCACTGTGGAAGACTGTATGGTGCCTACTCAAAAAGTTGCAAAGAGAAGATTTTATTGACCTCGCAATTCCACTACTGGGAATATACCCCAAAGAGACCATAACTTACATCCAAGCAGATATATACACACCCATGTTTATTGCGGCTTTGTTCACAATAGCAAGGAGTTGGAAACCACCTAAGTGTCCATCAACAAACAAATGAATACAGAAGCTGTGGTATATTCACACAATGGAATATTATGCAGCATTGAAAAACAAGAAACTCATGCAATATTATTCAAAATGGGTGACTCTGAAGGATATTATGCTCAGTGAAGTAGCTCAGTCACAAAAGGACAGATATTGCATGGTGCCACTGTTGTAAAACAGGAGTGACCTTGGGGTTGGGGAGAGACTGAGAAAGATGGGTTCAATAATGTATACTGCACTGAAACAGATGAGGGAGAAAACTATTTAAAAGGGATATGTGATTAGGTATTTTTGTTATGACAGGAATCTAGAGTGAAGACTACATGGTGGAGTGGACCTGGGGGAGGGTTTATAAAACAATGAAATAATTTTTCCTTTGCTTTTCCAAGAGGGTAATGTACTGGGGCGGGGGGGAGAGGGTTAGGAGGGGAGAAAAGTGCAACAATGAATGAATGGAAATCCAAAGTCTCTGCAAATTTTTACTGAAATTAATAATAAATTAAATTAAACCCAAAAAAGGGGAAAAATTGAAGGATTAACTAGTAAAATGTATGTAGGGCTCCAAGGAGAGAAAGTGTGGGAGCAGAGAGGTAAAAATGAGTAGGGATGAAATTGCAGGGTTGCAAAATTTGGTGGAAGGAGGGAAGGGATAAAGGAAATGGGAAAGAGGGGACCTGAAAAAATTGGGTAATGGTGGCCATAGTCCAGTGGTGATTAATTTTATCAAACACAAAATATGAAAATGTATGACCAAGGAGGATAGAAGGAGAACTGATGCCTTTGAGCTGTGGTGCTGGAGAAGAGTACTGAGAATACCATGGACTGCTAGGAAAACAAATAGATTTGTCCTGGAGAGGGTTAAACCAGGTGGCTCCTTGGAGGCAAGGATTCTGAGGCTCCGTCTAACTTACTTCGGACATGTAGTGAGGAGAGACCAGTCCTTGGAGAAGGACATCATGCTTGGGAGGGTGGAGGGACGGCGCAGGAGAGGAAGGCCCTCTATGAGGTGGATTGATTCAGTGACTGGGATAATTGGGATGGGAGTGTCAGAGACAGTGCGATTGGCACAGGACAGAGCGGAGTTTAGGGCTGTTGTACATAGGGTCGCTATGAGTCGCAGGCGACTCGACGGCACATAACAACAACAACAACAACAACATGAAACATAATGTCAATGAAGAAAAGTATAGGGGAAAATCTGCATAATAAAGTTCTCAGTAATTTTTTTTTTAGAAAAAATTCTACACCAGTAGGTGAAAAGAAAATCCACAGACAAGGAAAAAACACCACATTTGGTAACAACCTTTCAGACAAGAGTCTCATAACTAAAGTTTACAGAATACTACAGAGCCTCCACAAGAAAAAGTCTGATATCACTCAATCACAAAATAGGCAAAAGATTCTTCACAAAAGAGGACATTCAGATAGCTAACAAATCCAGGAAGAAATATTCAAAATCACTAGTAATCAGAGAGATGCAAATCAAAACAACAATGAAATACCATCTCACCTCAGCAACAGTAACAAAGTTTAAGCAATAAATATTAAAGAGAGATGGGAACGCGTAGCACTTGTGTGGGAATTGTAAAATGTGACAACTGCTAGGGAAGGCAGTTTGGTGTTTCCTCAAAAAGTGGAATATCTGCGTGATTTTCACTTTCTCCACACCCAGTCACTTGGTGTCCCTCTCAGACCATGTGATAAAAACCTGTTCATTTGAAAAAAGAAAGCTGAACATAGAAATCCACATGACTCATCTATTCCACTACTAGGAATATATCTCAAGGAAATCAGAACTGAGACATGAATGGACATATATACACCTATGTTAATAGCAGCAATTATTCACAATAGCAAGAAAATATTAACAGCTCAAATGTCTATCAACAAATAGATAGATTGGGAAAACTGGTATATCCACACAATGGAATACTATGCAGCACTAAGGAATAATGATTTCATAAAACATTCTATAACATGAGAGAGGCTAGAAAGTATTATGCTGAATGAAATAACTCAGTCACATAAGGACAAATGGTGCATAAGACTGAAATTGTGGAAACAGGAGAATAATTGGCAAAACATATATAAACATTCAAAAGGGGAAGGGGAGAAGGGTGGTAAAAAAAGAAGGGTAAATGAATAGGATGGGAGAGATTAGCAGGTGGAGGGGGCTGAAGGAATAGAAGAGATTCCATGAGGACTTGAAGAGAAGGAGGGATAATAGGTACAGGTCAATAGTAATTAACTACATTAAATATATGTATATAAATGAATGATTGTATAAAATACAATGTTATATGAATGATTGTAAGCAAAACAATTTAAAAATATTATAGCCTCAGAAACCTGATGGAAGGTTGCTTTGAACCAGAAGCAACTTGACAACAGTGGTTTTGGGTTTGAGTCTCTTCATTTACCACACAAGCAGTTAAGTGCTCCACTACCAACTGAAAAGTCGACAGTTTGAACCAACCCAGTGATGCCTTGAGAGAGAGGCCTGGAGATTGGATTCTAAAGGATTACAGCCTTGAAAACCCTCCACAGCACATGGGGTCGCCTGAGCTGGGGTCAATGTCACAATAAATTGTTTTGAGGGTTTTTTCGCTTCCTCCTATCTTCCTCCATCTCTCTAGCTTCTTCCTCCCAATCATCCTCATTCTGAGGCCTTTCTTTGTTTGTTTTTTACTTTATAAAAACAGCATTAGGCTAAGAGACCCATGGAAGTTTCTATATTATTATCCTTGTAAAGGAATAGGAAGCAGCTGTTACTAAACATGCTTTCTACATTCTTAACCATAGAAAGACGGAGAGATCTAGAGACACTGAAACTTCCATCACGACAATGTTCTGTACACAGGAGACTGAATTTGTTTATTTCTCTTTGTTTTCCCTAGGAAAGAGCTGAACTCATTACAACATTTGCACTTTGTGGGTTTTCCAATCTCAGTTCCATGGGAATCACACTGGGAGGCTTGAGTGAGTGAATTCAATTTACACAGCTTCCCACTAAGCCTCCTAGACCCCAGCTTCCATAGCTCACATTCTCGTTGCATCACTACAAGCTGAGACCAGACAGAGAAGCTGAGGTGACATGGACCATCTCAGATTGCGGAAGACAAAGGCAATCATGTTATCTTACTATGCATGGTATCAACTAATCTCAACTAACAGTCACTTTTCTTTTGATTGGAGGAAATGAACAACGAATTTTATTTGTATTTTCCCTGCATGGGAGAAAGAGTTATAGTGCTATTACTTCTATTTTGGTGTGAACTTGTATGTGTTCTGGTTTTTATTCAGTAGCGAGTTTATTTTAGTTATTGTCACAGAAGTGGAAATCCCCAGGAAGGCAAAAGAAAAACAGCAGACACAGAAGGCAGAGAGTTAGCAAGAGGCAGTAGTGTAACAAGTTGTATTTAAAGTTGCAAACCATCATGTGAGGGAGGATTCTTTTAAACAGACAGTTATATTTAGCCTGGTAGAGATCTGGGTGAATGCAGGGGATGAATGGAGAAAATCATATGAGAAAAAGTGGAGGTGCCCTTGGGGGCAGATATGGGGGAGATGACTAGCAGATGCTAAGGGTTCAGAAAATCAAAGTTAGAACTGAATCTTAACAGGTACCAGCCTATTGGTTCATTTTTTTGTGGCAGCCATATTATCATACTTGCTTCCTGGTTGAACAACTTAAAAGTGAAACAATTTGGGAGTTTTTAAATCTTTTCCCTTTCTGCTAAACCCTTGTCTAGATTGTTTGTGAATACTGTCCTTCTTCCTCGTCCAGCTTAGTCCGGATAGCAACTGATGAACATAGACATTTGCCTCTGTCTGGAACACCTAAGAGCTTTGTTTGATCCAGATGTAGCCTGAGAATATTAACAGAACTACTGCGGTTGTCTGGTAGCATATTCTATAGGGATATGCACTGCCAACCTAAAGGTAGCTAGTTTGAATCCATCAGCAGCTTCATGGGAGAAAGATGAATCATCTCCTCCCACACAGTTTACAGTGTCCAAAAAAAGCTTGGAAGGTTACCTCTGAGTCAGTTGCAACTTTACAGCCATAATTTTGAGTTATTGATGTTGCCTGACTTATTTAGGATGAGGCACACAATCCTTAACCCAGGGAATGTTCCAGGCAGTGATCCCTCAGGATTAATATATGTATGTGTCCTTTGGATTCCCATTGGCAAGCCTCTGAGAGTTAGTGGTGAAGATACTATTCATCTGCTATGTTTGTCTCTCTGCACACTTCTAAATGGGGACCATGGGAGAGACCTGATTGCGTAATAGAGAGGAGCTAAAATGATCTTGTTTTGCTGTCTGCAGCGTCAATGGTTCCCCACCGGAAGAGTGACTTGTCCAAGATTGTGCTCAGTGCCCTCTTCACAGGGGCCTGTGTGTCCCTTATCAGTGCTTGTGTGGCAGGTAGGTGCCTCAACATGGTGCTTAGAAGAAATTACCTACATCATGACAGGATATTGAATTAATCACCCATCCTACAGATACATAGAAAAGGCACCTAATCTAAGGTACTTCATTTACACCCAAAGAAAACAATAAAGAAACTTCCGAAGCATGTACAAAATCTTTCCCCAGTACCTGTCTTTTTCTCCAGGTATCCTCTATGTCCCCAGGGGAGTGGGAGCTGACTGTGTCTCCTTGCTAAACACCAGTTTCACCAACAGCAGCTATGAGACCTATGTATGTTGCAAAGAACTCTTTCAGAGGTGAGCGCTACAATCCTTGATGCCTCTTCTTATACCAGGTCTTCACTCAAGAGTATTCTGGACATATTAAAGTGGACTGTGGACTTGCGGGGGGGGGGGTGTGATTCTATAACAATGAAAGAATTTTTTCTTTTCTTCGAAGAGGAAAATGAACTGGGGGGATGGGTGGATAGGGAAGAAAATGTGCAACAATGAATGAATGGGGGAAAATTAAATTGAAAGAATATGCTGTAAAAAACATATGTTGCATTAAAAAATCATGAATAAAAACATTTAATAAAAAAGAGGATTCTGGAGGGAAAAGAAACAAAGTCTCAAAGATAGTCAAGTGAATGCTGGCTAGGTTGTATGAGAAGGGAAATGAGTATTTGTAATGGTGTAGGTCTGTGCTCTCTTTTATTAGGCACGTCTTCATTATTATTAGGTATAAAATGGACAGCAGATAGGTTTTACCTGGATTAGTGAGGTATTAATAGGTAGGAAAGGAAAGAAAAAAGCAAAAGGGTTCTCTTTAAAACAGCTGTGTTTATCCTACAGCACTTGATTGTGCTCATGCTAAACTTAAGCCTAGAAGCTGTTATACGAACAGAGCAAGGAAACACTGCATGGTGCAAAATCATGAAAGGAGTGCACTGGGCATGTACCCTATCTCCATACCTTTTAATCTATATGCTGAACAAATCATTCAAGAGGCTGGACTTTAAGAAGAAGAATGTGGCATCAGGGTTGGAGGTAGACTTACCAACAATTTGTATTATGCGGATGGCACAACCTTGCTCACTGAAACAGAGGAGGACTTCAAGTGTTTGCAGCAGAAGAACAAGGATTGCACTCTTCAATATGAATTTCATCTAAACATCAAGACAACAAAGCTTTTCACCACTTGGCAAAATGGCAGCATCATAAGAGATTGCATAAGAGATCAGAAGAGATTGCAGTTGTTAATAATTTTATTTTGCTTTACATTCTTGGCACCAACAATCAACTTTAGGAAATTCTGCTATTAGGGACTTCTCCAGAGTGATAAAGGGCCATGATGTCAGTCTAGAGACTAAAATATGCCTGATCCAGGCCATGGTCTTCTTAATTGCTTGCTATGCATCTGAGAGCTGGACAATGACTAAAGATGGCAGAAGAAGAATGGAAGAAGTTGTGGTGCTAGAGAAAAGAATCGAACACAAGGAATGCCAAGAGAACAAATAGTTCTGTCCTGGAGAGGGTGGAAGCAGGTTGCTCCTTGGAAGCAAAGATTTTGAAACTCAATATTACATGGTTTGGGCATGTTGCCAGGAAGAACCAGTCCTTGGAGAAGGACATCATGCTTGAAAGGATAGAAGGTCAGCATAGGAGAGGAAGACCCTGAATGAGATGGATTGACACAGTGACTATGGCAATGGGAGCTGGTGCATCAGAGACTATAAGGTTGGCTCAAGATAGGGCAGGGTTTAGAGCTATTGTTCGTAGGGTCATCGTAACTGACTCAAGGCATATAACAACAATGGCTTGTCTGCATTCTAATGGTGTAAAATATATCCATGATGTCAAGTTAATACTATTGATGTGGGTCAAAGTTAATTTTAATTCCCAGGCATATAAAATTATTTTCAGAGAATAAATTTGCTTATCATTCCTTAATGCAAAGAAAAAACCCCTATATTTATTGTGATTGGAATATAGATGCAAGTAGAAAGACTCAGCAACAGTTCTAAAAGGTTAAAAAGTTAATGGTATCTTATTTCATGGGGAAAAGAAGATTGAAAGAGGATAATATTGAATTGATAGAATCATGGTGAAGTTCAAATAGTGTTAAAGCGAGCTTGCTTGCCAAAGTCTGTATTATGAAGAAAATATATCATAAGGCTACACGAATTAATTTTGGGATAAATAAAACAAAGGGAGGATTTGAGAAATTAGACTGTATGATGCTACCAAAGTAAAAGATGTTACATACTGGTGGTACATGAATAAGTGAAGAGAATTCTGGGAGATGAGGGTGGGGATCCAAAAGCCTTTACATAAAATGCTATGGCATCTTGGCTTTGACCTGAAGAATTATGAACACTGGAGTGATCAGATATACTTTTTATAAAAGCAATAATCCAAGTGAGAGATGATGAGATCTAATACTAAGTAATTTTGAGGATGGAAATACAACAAACTAAGTAGAATTGAAAGGACTAACTCCAAGAACAAGAGTAAGAAAGATTATTGGTTATGTTGACCCGGGTAGAACTTGTGGAGAAACATAAGACAGCTGGAGTCTAGAGTTCAGGAGAGAAATCAAAACTGGAGAAAAAAAATGGAAGTTACTAAATAGGTAGTATGTTGACACTTTAAGTAGATATTCAGATGCTAGCTGCTTAATAGTTACCCAGCCGATTTAACAAATAATTTCTATTCTGTGCTCAAAGATTACTATCAAAAAAGGTAACCAGTATTCTAAAAATAGTCCCTTTCCCAGTTGTGAATTATAAACTAGGTAGGTTGTTTATCTTATAGGGTTTTTTTATTTTTAAATTATTTTTTTTAGTCTTTTATTCTTTGGGTTTCCCCCTTTCTTCTTCTTATGTACCATTGAATCGGATTTGACTTTGCACAGGAGGAGATTGCCCCCTCCTTCTCCAGCAGAGCATCTGGTGGATTCGAACCACGTGCCTTCAGGATTGCAGCGCAGCTTCCTGCCACTAGCCCACCAGAGTTCCTATCTTATAGTTTTGACTCCTATGTTCCTGTGACATTTGTTCAGTGGATGTCACCTATCAGCACACTCTAAATTAATAAAGTGAAAATTATTTCTATTTGTCGAACAGAGAATTGTCTTTATATTACCAAATTTTACTTAAAAAATAGGAAAATGTTCTTTCTTGTTCATTTATGCCTCCAAAGATTCAATTGACTTTCTTAATCTCAGGTTCCATACACAGATCATTAACATCTAGAGTCTGAAATGCTTGTGTCCAATTAATTTGTATTAATTAAACCTGAGATGGTTTTCTTTTTCAAGCAAGAAAGTCACTTCACTTTTTAAAATATACTCAATTCTAAATCACTTTGCAAATCATTAACTTCCCAAAAGGATTGTTATTAGGAGTTGAGTAAAGAAACATAATGAGTTGCAGAGAGTTTCTTGCTATTACTATCTTGGTCAGGAATAAGAAAATGAACTTCATTAGATCCTATTTATCTGGCCAGTGCTGATATATCCACTTATAGATTGTTTTGTTTCTGATTCCTAGTACAACTTATTGGTATAGTCTTGTTGCATCTTACTGTATTCTGACCTACTATGTTTCCTTCTAATTTTTCATTTCAGTACTTCTCTGAATGGCACTCACAGTCCTTCTTTTTCTGGTCTCTGGGAAGGCAATGAGTTCAGCGCCCTGGCCCTTGCTAACTGCTGTGAAATATACAACCACTCTACCTGTGTCTAACGATGGACCATTTCCACAAGCACATTGATCTTGACAGCTTTACGGAGACAAACATGTCTGCAGACTCAGTACCACTCTGTAATTGACTCACCAACATCTTTAACAATGTATCCCAATAATTAACATTTGTCTTGCTATTATTTAAACTGAATAGGAAATTGTCAATGGACTTTGCCTAAGCTTAGGTTTGAAATAATATTACTTTTTTTTTCAAATCTCGAGAATCTTGCTCCTCGTTTTTGTCTTTAAAATTGATGAAAACAAAACAGAAGCATTTGCCCCAAACAAAAAGCCAGAGGTAAAGAAGGAACATGAAAGAAAGGCAAATGAAAATGGAGAAGCCAAAGAGGAAGTGGGAGAAGTGCCATTACACTGAGAGATTGTAACCAATGTCATCAAACACACTGTATAAACTGATACATAGAATTAATTTCTTCAGAGAACTTTTACCCCAAATGCAATAAAAGATGTAAAAATTGTGTGAAGTGGTGTGTATAAACATGATGTGGCATATAATGTGCATTGAAGGAGAGAAAAGATCTTTTTCTTGGAGTTTTATGAGTGAGGTGAGATTTATGTTAGGAAGTAGGATATATGTTATTGAGCAGGTCAAGTTTGACCTTTTCTAAGTCCATTGACCTCATTTGGCCAGCTCTTGGCCCTTAAGTCCCAAATGAGCTGGATTTCAAATACCTGTACCTCTAGCCAGTGGGAGGATACAACCATTCCCCAAGTTGTATCCTTGCTCCTCTGTCCTGTTGATTCCCTCTGGATTCAGCCTATCTTCTTGTAAGCAAGATAAAACAGCTCAGTCAGAAAGCCCTGTGATGTGATGGGAATGACCACTGCCAGTTGGCTTGCCTAAGGCCGGTAGCAACTCTCAAAGCTGGACAAAAAAAAAGATGGGAGGTTACTGTGAACTACAGTCACAGTCTCCCTGGACCATCATCCACTGTAGACAGAGTAAACGGAGTAAAGGGCTGCCACACAGAGCTTCTCATCACTTCCTGCCACAGCGCCAAGCTGGCATCATTCACCTGACCAAAGAGAAGGTAGGCACCTGAATGTGCTGCAGCATCTTTTTTCTTCCTATGGTGAAATGTATTATTTTTTGTTTTGTTTTCATTTTTATTTTGTGCATAAAAAATTCATAAACATTGTGTTACATCCTGTCCTTCAGTCCTTCACATTGTGTTTCATACAATCATTCCCATTCATTGTATTTTGTACAATTAATCACCATTGAACTGTGCCCACCATTACTCTTTGTAGAACCCTGCAGAACCTTTCCCATTTCCTTTACCCCCTCCATCCATTTACCAAATTGTGTAGCCAGATTATGTCCACTCTGTCCATCCTCACCCCTCTGCACCCACAATTTCTCCCTTTGAACCCCATTACTTGTTCTACTAGTTACAATAATGGTCTTATGAAGTGTTTGTCCTTATGAGGCTGAGTCCACTCAGCATAATGCTCTCCAGTCTCTCCTGAGCTATGTAGTATTTTTCAAAATTGTTGTTCCTGAGTGCTGTGTAATATTCCATCAAGTGAATGTACCACAATTTCTCAATCCATTCATTTGTGGTTGGATATTTGGGCTATTTCTGTGTTCTTGTGATTGTGAGTAAACGCTGCTATGAGCATCAATGTACAAATCTTAGTTTTTCTTATTTACAAATATTTGAAGACTAACAGAATGTTCCTTTGTTAACAATTCCATATTTAACTCTATTATTGTCCTTGGAGATGGACATCATGCTCGGAAGTGTGGACAAACAGTGCAGGAGAGGGAGACCCCAGATGAGATAGATTGATACAGTAACTGGGATGATGGGGGTTGGTGTGTCAGAATTAGTGAGACTGGCTCAGGACTGGGAAGGGTTCAGAGTTGCTGTACACAGAGTCACTAGGCATCACAGGTGATTCAACCAATAACATTCTATGACAGGTTTGGAAGCAAGAGTGGCATCCACTTGCCCCTAGAAACTCTAATAAATTTGATAAATGTCAATAGTTATAGAGGGGCTTCAGGCCTTTTGTTCATAGGGTCACTAATGAGTCATGCTCGACTCGAAGGCAAGCAACAACAACAACTCTATTATTATTGTGCATGGACTATGCCACCAGGAGCTCTGGTGTAACTCCTTACCCAGTAGGCTACTGGAGCTCCTGGTAGCATGATCCAGAGTGAGCTGTGCTATTAACTCAAAGGTCTTTCTCTCTGGTGGTTCAAATCCATCAGTGGCTGCAAGGGAGAAAGATGGGCACTTTCATACAGTGCAATTTACAGCCTTGGAAACTCAATGGAGGATTAGCTATGAGTTGATTCTATCTTCAAAGCAAGAAGAAAGGAGGAGATTTGTCTTAGAATATATTTTGTATGTTTCAACTCTTTTATATATGTTAAAGTTATTTTATACTCTAGGTAGCTCTAGTGGCAAGAAACTGTGATGCAATCCCAAAGGCACATGGTTCTAATACACCATCTGCTCTGTGGGAGAAGGATGGGCAGTCTCCTCCTGTGCGATTAACTGCCTCTGAAAGCCCACTGGAGGGTCAGCTACAGGTTGGTTACAACTCCATAGTACACAACAACAGTATGTGGTATACCTCAGTAACTAGTCTGTAAACTGAAACCAAAAGAAAAGGTATCATTTCTAAAAGCACTGAAAAATATTCACTAGCTTACAATAAAACACAAGTTGTAGAGTCTAGGTACTGAAAATTAACCTACAGGTGGGGGGGGGGGAATCTGACTAGCTCTTTTCCTTTAGATCAAAGCATGATTTCTTCTTCTTTATTCGTTCTTCAACAATATGCGCACTGATGGTCTAATGGGTAAGGAGTTATACTATGAAACCAAAGGCAGATAGTTTGAATCTACCAGCTGCTCTGCAGGAGAAAGATGGGCAATACTTCCCATATGATTAACAGCCTCTGAATACCAACTAGAAGGTCAGTTCCAACCAACTCATGGGTGTATAACAACAAATACCAAACAGGGGCATCAGGCTTTTCCTTGCTCTCCTGATGTCTTCCCTTCAGCTATAAAATTAGTTAATGCTTAATTTAGTCAAGGTTAACAAGGCTTCCGTTAATGGAGCACTAATATCGATCTCTGCCTTGTCCTTCTCTCCCCTCTGTCTTATCCCACTGGTCCCAAAGGTTGAAGGCTATTTGCCATTTGAACCTGAAAGCATCCAACACCGGTTTCCATTCTCAACCACCTAAGAAAGTCTAAAACCATCCCTCTAAGGTTTGGGAATGGAGGAAGAATGTCAAGCACCCAGGACTCCTTGAGAAATCTGATGGCATCTAGGGCAGCCAGATCCATCCGGGACCAGGCCAAACAATGGATCCTGATAAAGTTCTGGACCTAATCACAAAAACCTAAACCCAGGTTAATTAATAACCCCAAATCTCCAGCAAAATACCATCTTTCTTAGCCAGCCCTCGCCCCCCGCCCCCAGAATCCCCATAAAAAGAGGGAGCCTGAGACCACCCCACACCATTTTGGCTTTCTCTTCTTGTAGTCACTTGGTGTCTCTCTCAGACCATGAAATAGAAACCTGTTTCCTGGAGGGGAGGAGGGCAGGGGACGGGAATGGGGGGAAATGGAGCACTAATATCTTGAAGCAAGTTTTAGAAGCAATATAGAAAAATTTTATTTAAAGATAAAGTAGAAAATCATAGTTTGGCTTAGCGTTTAAACTTGGAGGTTGTGGCATCGCTAGTTGCAAGTACAGTTGAGCCTCAGCCAGAATGATTGAGGTGGTTTCAAGGACCATCTTAGGCAGGTCTGCGTTGAGCGCAACACTGATGACACCACTGGAGATCTTAAGAAGCTCATCACAGCCCAAACTGGCACCCATCGGAACAAAATTGTCCTTAAGAATGGTGTTCCATTCTCAAGGACCATGTGTGTTTGAGTGACTATGAAATCCATGATGGGATGAACCTGGAGCTGTATTACCAATAAGGCAGAATTCCTTCTTCTCTTACCTTCCCTTTCCCCCACCACTATTCTCACTGGCATGGACACTCACTTTTAAAAACATTAATAAAACTTAGATGCTGAAAAAAAGAAAAAGTAGAAAATCAAAATGTCCAGCTTCTAATCAATAATAGAGCCAATGTTAAGTGTGCATATTGTATGATCTTGTTTCTAGCTGAGGAAGAGACTAGATTTGGAAATAATCCTGTTTCTATGAGGGTGACTGAAGAAATCAAAGAATCAAGGAAGAGTTATGTACTGAGGTACTTGCCTACTCCTTTCTTTGCTCAAATATATATGGCCCTGGAGCCAGCCTGTGTCATAAATAGCTATTATACAAGGGTGTGGAGCAGATTATCAGAGTATAGATTTTTAGAGCAAAATGGATCTTTTAGATCTCCCTGCTAACCACATCTGCTCTTGACTGTGGATAAGGCAGGCTATGAAGCCCTCACACAGTGTTCAGTAGGTGTTTCATAAAGGACCTCTGCTCTTGCACTCAAGCCTTCAGCATATGTGATAGCTACCCCACACCATCCACTCCATGGAAACAAAGCACAGACCGTCACTCCACTCCTGAGCTCTCATTCACTCTTGTCTTCTCAAGAATCTGGAAGTCATTTCCCACATGTAACATACTGATCATTAAGAGTTCATGTGTCCTGAATAGAATTTGCTATCATCTGCCTGGATAAAATGCACCAAGAACATTTTTTATACATGAAGATGGCAAGACTTAGACTTCATCTTTGAACATATTGTCAGGAGTGACCTTTCTCTGGAGAAAGATATCAGGCTTGGGAAAACAGAGATTCAGCAAAAAAGTAGACCCTCCATGGAATGGCTTGAACAGTGGCTGTGACAGTGGTTGCCAGCCCAAGGGCAAGACGCATGGGAGCAGGCAGTGTTTCTTTTCGATGTACACAGGGTTGCTATGAGATGGAGTTGACTCCACACCACCTAACAATGACCTTGTCTTCCAACAGCCTGCTCTTCTCAAGCTAGT